TCGTGTTTGTGAAATAAACAACAGACTAGAGGACTGTATTTTAAGCATCTGGCGGCTTACACGCCTTCGGTTGTCTGCGTGCATTGCAATCTCGGCAAATATGAAATTGTGGCTAGCACCCGTCCAAAAAGCCGTTAATTTAGGGTGCAGGTAGCGTTCATGTTGCAGCCTCTTTGAGTCATCACTACCAGCAGCGCCACGATGCAGAAGTGGTCGTCGCGTTCTATTTCTCACGAATGCGGACCCACCATGTAATGCCTGAGAAAAGTCGCGAGAGGACGGCTGTGTTAGGAGCCGCCCTAATCGACTCGCTCCCACGCCACACTACCAATCTGCCCACATGCAATGTCGCCCAAGCTACCGACAGGGTTTAGAACTCTATCCTTCCCCCGCCGGGTGAGTCACAAAGCTGGCCGAGCTGTTAGGCACTTGAGGACACCAGCTGATTAGTCTGATTGCAGACCTGTCTTGTACTTGCTTGTAACTGCCTTTTAAAAGTACTCTGTTAGCATACGGCAAAAATAACACATGCATTCTTCCACCCTTGTTGCTGAGCTCGCCACCTGGTGGATTCGATTGAGGCGTTGCTGGTCGGCGGACATCGTGGCTTGTAACCAATTTAACACAAACAGCTTAACGGACAGCCAGCAGGCAGGCAGCGAGCTGCGCTCACAGCAAGCTATCGATCGGCCTGCCTGCGGCGAACACAGACTGGCAATCAAACAATCAATCCATGATTAAAAATTTAAAAGTTTAAGCTGCGGTCAGGCTAAGACTCTGACAAGCCAGCCGTTGAGTCACAAGCCAATCGTGGCACTACTGGCGCCAGGAGAGAATCTGACTTGCCCGATGTACACGGCTGTACAGTGTTTGCTACTTTAAATATGTTCTACTAATTACGCTAAAAGACATCTGTTTTGCGCTCTCCTTGACGTATTCCTCCTTGGTGACTCACATAAGGCGTAATTAGGCGGTGACATCTCGGCTTTGGCCACACTTAGACTGCAGATTGGAGGGAAGCTTACGGACAGCACACGGTCATCATCTCTGAATAGGAAAGGCGAAGACAAATTCGGGAAGCTGTTGGATGGTGAGATTTGCTGCAGTAGAAGTCGTTAAACCCTTCTAGGTAAGAGTTCCTTACAAATAATACCCTAATTCAAAATAAATTAAGGCAGATAGTGTTGCCGATGGAGAAAAGGGAGACTGGAATGGCCATTTTTGACATAGTAGGCGTCGTCAGCCAGTCATACACAGACCCAAGTGACATCCCACCCAACCCTCGAACTCGTGACCTCTTTGATTGGGGTCAAGAGCCCTAACCACTGAGCCACGAGCTCTTTGTCTTGCCGGATTACGTCGAGATATATTGGCACTTATTGATGAAGGTTCACTCGACCGCAACGAAACTAATCTGTCCGGCTCTGCCTTGGTTATTGATGGAGGCCCTGACTATCGTAGCAGCTAGTATTGTAGGTAGACAGAGGAGTTCCGTTAGCAATCGGGTGAGAGCTCATCAATGAGTGTAAAATAACTAGACTAGAACTAATAAAACCATGTAATAAAATACTATGCTACAACGAAATGAGTGTAAAGTGTTTATAAGGCACCCTCAGCCCTTCCCAAACCGGGGGCCAGGAAGGTTGTTAAAAGTGTTGTCGATCCGGTGAAGCGAAGCTTTTTCAGGCCAAAATTGAGGTTGACTCACCTGAAGGAGAATGGCGGCGATGAAGACGTACATGACATATTGCATGTTTTGGACAGCAAAGTTGAGTATCTTTGCTTCGCAGCCCTCTACTGGCGGCGAGACCAACTGTGCCTTTTCAATAGTACAACCTGTGGTGTTTGTATTTCCACAGCAAACAGTTGGGGCATCTGAAAAGGCGGAAGGGGGAAGTGTGAGGGAGGGCGTTGGAGAAGAGAGTTTAAATAACCGGTTTGGCAGCTTGCCACTGACATACCACTGAGGTAGGCTGGGTTAAGCGGTGACGGTGAGGTTTTTGTGAAATATTCAGTAGGATAGAAATGCAGCATCTATGAATGCAGCTGCAAGAACTATAGTAAAAAATCTTAGGTTTTTTTTTAATACAAGAAATAATACTGTCGATAATGGTAAATATGTGAGTTCCAGGAGGTAATTCAGAAGAAAAGGATGCTATCACTGAAAGAATGAATGGGCAGGAGTTTCCTTGGTAGCGCACATATGTTCTTATTTATATTTAAATG